TATGATTGGCTGTGAGACATGTATACATGTCACACCTAATCTCACAGCCAATCATATTGCTGTATTGAAGGCCACGTACGTCACGTGATAGTTATATAACACTATGAAAATCCTGCGAAATCTATATAACATTATGCATTTTTTGAATAAATATGTTTGCAGTTTAACTAACAGTAATGTTAACAGTTAACCATGCACATCTTCATCGACTGTACAGTACATGCCCTCTTAATGCTCAACAATTGGGTGCATTCCTATATATGTGGTTAATATAAATGACTGCTCAAATGATTGCTTCTTACTTTCAAAAGCAATTCAAGTATTAGTTCTTAATAGTTAGCTATTGTTTGAGTAGAAATTATCGCTTCAAACCAACTAAACCTTTATATTAATTAATTAAAACTTTAATTTCTAATATTTTCAAAAATAAATCTTACAACAGATTATCAATTATAAATTTGGGTTAAAATTAAATTACAATAAGTGCTAAATAACAGAAAACTAATCACTTTTGGCTTATAATTACAATAAATGTCATAAACATATTCAACACATTTTACGATTGTCTGACTCTATCGACCAAAGAGTACATAATACCAGAGATGAGAGCCATTATAGTGAAGCCTTGGGCAGCGATCCTACCCCTCATCATCAGCTGTTGCTTCCGAGAGTCGCCTCTTCTCATACAAATCAGACCATAAGTGAGACAAAAAGTGGTGCCAATCATACCTGACATGTGTATATCATATATGTATTACATAATTGTCACTATTGTCTCTCACACCACAGTCGGTGCCATCCCTTTGCCCATCCCATCGGTCATACGGGCCGTGTATTGTCCACCGATTGTCACCACAATATGTGGTAAGGGATGGGAGGGATGGCACACAACTGTCACACAAGACATACCGATGGGAACCAATGGATTCTCTTTGACTTTGCTGACCATTTTGGTCATGAAGTTGTAGTCGTGTTTGAGATTGTCGTTATGCATCTTCTCTCGCAATTCAATCCACTCTAACTCCACGTTCGCATCCATTGTCTCACTCTTCGCCGCCATATCTTCGGCCATATCTTCGCTGTCAGTCTTATAGTGTGTATGAGTTATGCAATCGTCAAGTAATGGTTTGTTTAC